CTCTCTCTCTCTCTCTCTCTCTCTCTCTCTCTCTCTCTCTCTCTCTCTCTCTCTCTCTCTCTCTCTCTCTCTCTCTCTCTCTCTCTCTTCGTCGCGATGATCGTCTTCAACAGCGCTGGTCGACTCCCTTCAATGATGCGCAGTGGACTGACTTCTTCAGCGGTGCGCAGGGAGCACAACAGAGCGTGCGCGGTCAATAGCAGGGTGCGCACGAAATCACGGGCGCGCGTGAAATAACGAAGTGTGCGTGAAACAGGAGCGCACGTGTATGTGCACAACGGCGAGGTACTAGCAGCGGTGGCGTGCAGCAGACACACGATTTTGAAGCTGCGCGCGGAAAGCGGGTGCTGATGTGGCACCTCCCTCCTCTCGTTGACGACGATGATGGCGACGGCGACCGATGGGGGGACAGCGGGAACCAGCTCCGATACCAATTGCAATCAGACTTGTCCGCTTTGACCTTCAGCATGCATACGAACAGATGATGATCAAACTGGCGACTCGCGCCCACACAAAGCTCAGAGATAAGGAAGCCGAGAACACGCCTCAGATTCAAACGTGTCTTGGTCGGCCTTGGCCGACAACTACACTCTTAGCAACTTGTTCGTACACACACACTGGATTTCCCTGGATGTCCGGACACACACACACACACACACTCGACTCTCCCTCACACTAATACCCTACTGACATGCTGACATGGCGGCCATGGCCGCCGTCTTCCTCCTACCACTAACACCTTCGTCTATGGCCGGTCTTCCTCCTCTTAGCCCTCCTCTCCCTCGGGCACCTGCAGACCACCTTGCACAAGACGCTCAGGCAGCGCTTCCGCACGGCTCACAGGCAGAATGAATCCATGACTTGACGCTGCCACTTGATTTATACTTTGGATTGTCAATGGTCTGCCCTTGGACCCTGGGCCCGGGGTGCACACAGTCCCACATGGTACTTGCTGACTTGACAAAGTGCGACCAGGACTGGGTACCGCTGACTAGCCGATTGGACTGCCCACTTGCCTACTTGCCCCTAGGCTGACTCTTCAGACTCTACGAAAGGTCACTTCCGGACCTTTCGGAAGTCTGTGGACTTGACCTTTCGGGACTGTAGCAGCTACGACTTTGACCTTTCAGGACTGTAGTAGTTACGACTCCTACTGAGTTAGGACTCCTACTCGACAGACCTATGGATCAAGACCCAACGACCACATTAGGCTGCACAGACAAACTAGCGACTACCAAAACACAGGTCGCCAGTTCAAACACACAGGGGTCGACTGGTACTGTACACGGGTGAGGGGGAGGTCTAGGGATCGAGCCCTGGGATGTCCATCTGCTACTGCAAAGGTGAAAACCGTTTCAATTCATTCATTCTTTGTTTTTCGTCTTTCGTCGTCTTCGTCTTCGTCTTTGTCTTCGCCGTCGCCGTCGCCGTCGGCTTCGGCTTTGGCTTCGGCTTCGGCTTCAGCTTTGGCTTGTTTGTCGGCATCGGTGTCATTCTTTTTTTCTTTCTTCTTTTTTTCTTCTTCTTCTTTTTCCTAAGATGGATATTCTCAAGCTCAATGTTCTGTCAAAAGAACATGTCCCAAAACGAAAGTAAAGTAGGAAGACCTGGCTGCCCACAGTTGGGTGGAAAATGAGGGGTTCAATATTTCTGCTTTGGGGCGCAGTGGTGGTTAGGTGGTGGTTTAAAGAGCGTGCTTTTACATGTACCTGACCATTGTTTCTGTGCGTGTGCGTATGCCATTTCGGAGCAGAATAGTCATCCCAGCTGCCATTTACTAGATGAATCTGGCTGCAACTACTGCTCAGGGAGAATGTATCTGCCAGCGATTACATTAAGCAAAATCAGTGGAGAACATTTTTTTGAACTTTGAAGTATATAATAGTAGTAGACTAGGTAGTAGTGATAATTAATCCTGTAATAAGTTTATGTGCCCTCATCCCGCGGGGTGTGATTGTGATGATTCATGATGCATGTGAAGGTTTGTGTGAAGGTAAGCTCTCTCTATTGTAATTGAATTAAGCTCTCTATCTGATTTGGCTGTCTGTTTTTTCGGTTTTTTTTGGGGGGGGGAGTGCTGTGTGTACAAGGAAAGAAGACCCAATCTTCACTATCATTATAATATCATTTGATTGTGCCCTTCGCAGATGGGTGAGTGAGCTTGCACCCTCAGTTTTGTTTTGTTTTTTGCTGCTGTGTGTACAGAGGAAAAAGACGCAATCTTTATTATCATTTGATTGTGAAGGAGAAGCACCGTCAGCAGATGAGTGAGCTTGCACCCTCAGTTTCCAAAAAAGGAAACCAAAACCACAGTGCAGCTTTTATAGGAATGATGAAGTGGGCAATTGAAATGACACTCCACGTAGAGAGTGGAGCCATGAGGTACCGTCTTCCACTGCGAACACAAGGCATCCTCAGCTTGACTGCACCTGACCAGAGTTATCGCTTGTATTCATTTAGGTCTAAGGTGCATTATGCTGGGGGGGAATGAGAGGAAGATGGTAGGTGACAGGAGGGAGTACGCTCTACTGATATGTAGGGATAAGTCAAAAGGCGGCTCAACCTGCTCGAGGGACTCAAGTTGGGACGATCCAAGAGACCCATGGTGGGACAGCTGACGAGACTCAAAAATGGTACCGTCCATACCGTTCAAGAGAGTGAAAGTTGAAGTGAGATACCCAAAGATCAATGGGACGATTCAACAGACCCAAAGTGGAACATCTCCAGTGGGATGATTGAGGAGATTCAAAATGGGACAATTCAGATGGGATGGTTGAAGAGATGAACTCCAAGTAGGACCACTCGACGGACTTAAGGTGAGACCACTCGACGGACTTAAGGTGAGACCACTCGACGGACTCAAAGTGGGACAAGTCGACGGACTCCAGGTAACTCAAATGACACCTAAATGATATCAGCAGTCGTACACAAAATATCAGTCACAGAGAGAGAGAGAG